GTAAAAGTGCGCCTAAAATATGTTTTAAAACTCCTACGGAGTGCGTGAAGCCGGCTAAATGTTTCATCGTGCACAAATTGTCGGGATGATTTTATCATAAGGACGGAAAACGTTGTGCTTTTTATCTAACTTGTGGTGACAAAGCCGTAGGAAGAAAAATGAATGATTTTACAAGAATAGCAACTTTTCAAATAATTTCGAGCCATTATTACGTGTTGATTTAACGTTGCGTGAGATAAGACAGACGACAAATGAGTAATATGAAAAGGACGTAAGCAAATTTCAAGATAGTGTGTATGGCGAAAAAAAATAGTCATAAATTTACATACATTTATTTGAACAACAATGTCGACCACTCATTAAAAACTGTCATGTTAAAAATATTTATCAACAAATTTTTAGTATTTGGCATATCAGCGTAAATTTACATCGCATTTTGTTTAATCTGTTTGTCCTCATTGTCAACTTAAATTTGTATTGTAGCTCTGAAGCCCTTGAGGTTTGAGCAGATCGTTTGTATTGCGTTTTTTTGACGTCCGTGAATTATGGTCATCGTGGCTTTCGCGCAAGGTGGAGCTGTATAAATATTCATAGTAAATTCCGACACGAATCGTCATTATTTGCTCAAAGACTTCCTCGAGGCCAGAGCAAGTTTTCAAACTAAAATTACGTGACAGGTTGATGAAAGTCCTTTTTAAATTAGAGAACTAACTTTCAAAACCACAAACAAGTGCAACATTTCCTAAAGCAAAAAGGAAAAAACTCAATTGAAATCCTATCGTGATAATTTAACGTTGAGGCGCTTTGAAAATACTAGACAAAATTAAAAACAGGTAATTAAGTATTAACAACTGAGTTGAAAATGTAAATTGGCCACCGTAAAGAGTAAAAAGCTGACGTTTCGAGTGTTAGCCCTTCTTCGCCACATCTTAAAGCGATGAAAAAAATCACACCTTCGTTGGATGCCACGCCTAAGGTAAAAGACAAAAGGAACAAATAAAAAGTGATAACAAACGCGCTCGGCCAAAACCTCGAAAAACTTGCTTTTAGCAGTATTTCATTCTAAAAACATTTCTAGAATTCAGTTTTGACAGTTTTTAGAAAATTCTCGTACGAGCAAGATCTGCTTTTCCTTTTTTAAAAGTAGAACGGTCACTTCAACTTCAAGCAATCTCAAAGTACCTAAATGAAGGTATCCTCTTCTTAGGTAGACTTGTTGGTTCCAGAAAGTCAGCACCTCATTAGAAAACAGCTGTGCGCCAGCGCCTGCTCTCTGCGAAAAATTTGGAGAAGCTGTTGACAGCTCCTTACTTTTAACAAAGATTGTTAAAATCCGCTGTAAAACTCTGGTAGTTTTTAATGAGAGACTTACTTTTAAGCAGGACCTGCTTTTTTTGTAAATGATAAATAAAAAAACTCGCACCTTCTTCATTGTGAGACTTGTGAGAGAAAAAATATCACACCCTCATCTTGCCACGCGTTTGATTGAAAACGAAAATAACTCAAATACATGCTCTCGCAAAAACTAGAAATCATTGCTTTGATCAGTATATCTTGTATCATCAACATAGTTACACGAATTCGACGCCTTTGCAAAGAAGGATCCTCGTGTTAGGTAAGCATGCTGGTTCTAAAAACGATGAATGCCTCGTTTGAAAACAGCTGTGCGCCAGAAACAAGGTCTTCAATCGCCTCGAGGCTCTCCACAGAAAACCGTCACTTTCGATTACATTTAACATCAGTAGTAAGACCAAAAAATATATTTGTACGTTGAAAAAACTGACTGGTAAAAACCAGGCGACTTGACTTACATATAGAGAGAGGTGGTTTAAATGAGTCACTGCAATACGGATAAATTTAATTATTTCTGAATTTACGAACCTTTGGCTCAATGCGCTAAACGAGGGTCAAGTCTACCCTTGGGTACACCGATGGAGATTGATTTTACTAGTTCATATTTAACACTACCCACTCCCCCAGTGCAGCAAAATTGCCACTCCGATAATTTTCTCGATCAGTAACGAGCTTTTCCGCCTCCCTTCGGCCAAAGTCCCTCAGGACTACCAATTACTCAGGACTTTTGTTTGGAAAAGTTGACCCGGAACAATGGGCCATTTCTTGATACGATGAATGTTATGTTAGTATCCTACGCACCTTTAGGATTCCCTTTCATTGAAATGTTACGTAAGTATCTCGCACACTTTCTGAATTCTCATTCATTCGATTGGAATTTTACTGTTTCCCTTACTTTTAGTATTTTTAGCACGGATTAAAAAGGTCTTTGCTTTGGAAGGAATCATTTATATGCTTACGAAAACTCCCATTGATGCGTTTAAGGATAAAAGCTATCGACAGGTTTCGAGACATGATCTAAGCGTGATCTCAGTTCTTGTCGAACGGCAGTAGTGGTGCGTAGTTCAGTGTGCAAAGACAAGTATCAACTCATTAACTTATTTACTTATTAAAATGATTTCAAACTGCCGGTTTTATAGGAGAAAATCAGACGGTGAGAGTGAAACTGAGCATCTTTGAAAATCTGAAGACTAGCTTACCGTTCCAAAGATTCTTTCAGATCTAAAACTGTTGGTAGCGACCGGCTAAAATAGAGAGCTTCTTTAGGCCGTTTAAATGTTGATATTCATTTGCATTTTGATGGTTGACAGTAAAAATACATCCTTTCTGACGGCTGACAGGTAAATTTTGAGCCCCAGAACGGCTGATGGTTAAAACTCATTAAGACTGTCTCTCATTGCAGCGGCTGTTTATAATTAAAACAACTTTTATTCCTACAAGTTTTTTAATTTTCCGGAAGGTTTTCCGACCCGACTGATTTTACAAAATGAACCAGACTTGGAACAGGTTAGAATAGTAAAAGTGCACAAGATACTAACCTAACATTCATTATTTATTGATTACGTATAAAAATATATCTTCCTAATAAATTTCAACCGTCAAAGGCCCTGACATTCAATCGTCAACTGTCAAACCTAAAAAGAAATTATCCGCCAACCGTCAAAGCTATCTCTCATTAAGATCCTCTTTCGAGGAGAACGGAGGATAGATCAGTCGTGGCTCACCCGGTATAAAGGCGGCGGGGGGAGGCGGGGCTATAGAAAATTGACTACCAATTGAGGGGAGAATGTTAAGAACATTACAGAGACTTAGGGGGAATCAGGATAATTCTCTCCTGGGTAACAGCCGGTTTCGCTACTTGTCGAGTTCGCTACATGCTCGCTACTAACATGCCGAATTCGCTGCTTAGTTCATCCTACCATTCTATCATTCTACTTCCACGATATTTTAGAACCAACTTCTTTTTTTTAAAAAAATCTGCCTTATTCAACCCGAAATGGGCGCCATGTTTTAGCATATTATCGTGGTAATCATCGAGCCCGCGCATCGCAGCGGCATTAACAAGAGAGAGAAAACACAAACCAGTAAAGAAGAGTCAAAATTATTAATTTTACAGCACTTTCTTTATTATCAAACTATATATTTCAGAGTCTATATGCATGCTTAAAAGATTTCTACTCAGAGTAATGTAAACGAATTGAATCCAGGGGTACCGAATTTAGGTGAGAACACACAGCGCTTGAAGAGCGTATTACGTAACTTTTGACTATCATTTATAATAAAGTTCGGATATAACGCGCACTGTCATTGGTTGAAAGGGCGTGCTCTATGCGAGTATAGAGCATAGAGCTGAGCTAAAGCTGTCACGCCATCTGCCAAACTGTACTATGTTCGAGCTTTTCCGGGACTTCTTTTTAGCTTTTTTCCGATAATTGAAAGTGAAATTTCGGAACTGAAGCGAGCCGACAAGTAGCAACAGAAGAATCAAACAAAGGTTTGTAAACATACCAGGCGCCGTAATTTAAGTTATTAAAACGTGAGCAGATACGAAAATCCTCAAGGGAAAAACAAAATAGACGTTCGAGGTTTTAAAGATTGATTCACGCTCAGTTAGATTGCAAGCTTACGTACGGAAATAAAAATCAAACACAGCTAACACTCATATAGTATATAAAGTTCAGTGTTCGAAAACAAAACAGAACAAAACAGAAATGATGAAAAATATAACCAAACTGGCATAATTGTTAAAATTCATTCTAATCATGACGGTGTCCGAGCGAATATGATCATGCTGAAGTCCATCGCGGCTCGCTCATCATGGCGATCTCCGGTCATCACAGCAAGCCTCAGAAACTACATCGGCCGCCCTTCGAGTGAAAAAATAAGAGCTTACTCTGATATCCTTTCCGATGCGTTGAGTGGAAAGTCACATCTGTCATTGCAGCCGAGTTTTGCGACGCTGTCATCCCAAGCGATCTTCATGTTCCGGTGAATTTGGCTGTCGTTCATTCAAAAAACACTCGCCCTGAACAGTTTGTTTTCTACCTTGTCATATGAAAAAACTCGCGTGTTTTTATGAGCCATAATTCGGCTGAAGTTCACTGAACATTTCACTTCAAGATTCTGTCTTAGAGCCTTAAAAACTTCAGGCAAAAGAGTTAAATTCGACTTGCCGAATTATTTTAGTTTGTAAACTATCGTGGAATGTGAACTTTGATGGTTTTTGAACTTTGATGGTTTGACACTTTTGACAGCTTTAGTCTTGAACAGCCAATCACATTGTTTTAACCACTCTAACAAGGATTCTGATTGGCTTCTTGAATGGCAACATCACCATTTTAAATCAAAAATAAGAGATTATTTAGAGGTTTGTTAAACAGAAAAGTCATCTACCATTAAAGTTTACCATTAAAGAAGACACAGGCTAATAAAACTTTTCACTGAGAATGCTCATGGTAAGTTTTAGCGATGGTTTATACAGTAAACTGAGTACAGTTATCTTTGTGAAAATCGAGCTTCGATGAGTATTACTTTTAAAAACGGCAACTTTCTACTATCAGGGAGATTATAAATCGTCGACTGGAATGAATCGCTTTGAGTCGAACGAGGGTTGGACTCTGACAACTCAAGAATTTCGGCTGACGCATTTAGTCATAGATATTCTGTAACTCTCGGCCACTGGACAAAAAAACTGACAGGCTATGCAAACCCAATCTATCCCGGTAGCTGTGCGTACAGCGGCTCGATAATCTTGTTGAGAAATTCCTATGAAGAAAAAAAGTAAGCTACGGAACGATTTCTTGCAGCAAAATACCTGACATCTCCTCAAAGATCAAACGGAGTTTTACAAACTGAATGTAAATGAAGTATGAAAGGTAACTTACCAGTGATACAAGTCCCGTGGTTCCACTTTGAGCAAACGTCGCATTGAATTCCTCGTTGCCGCGATGTAACAGGTCTTTCACACGTGATGCAATTGTCGGCCATTCTCAAAATTAACTTAACATGATCAGTTCAACTGACCTCTAAAAACGGCAATCACGCAGTTGGAAGTATAAATTACTGATATTGCTGGTGGTTTTATGTTTAAAAGAGAAATTAAAACTGTGAATTAACTGAGGCAGCGAATTCAGCATGTTTGTGGCGAACTCCAACGTAGCGAACTCGACGAGTAGCAAAACCAGCATAAAGCCTCTCGTGACACAACCAAAATCCTTCAGCATCCCCCTCCTCCCCCTCCCCGGCGATAATTAATGATCGGCTCCTAAAATAGATAGGATTATTTTCTTCATTCTACGGTTCTGTGAAAAGATGTAATGGCCAAAAGTGTTCATCAATGAATCAAAAAACAGTTGGAAACAATTTACTGCAATTGCTGAGTGCGAAGAACGAGAACCACCTTATCTTACCTTGTATTACTGATTGTGAGGTTAAAGAAATCTGCTTTACTTTGCACCGTTAATTCAAGGTTAAAATTATGTTTTTGGATTAATTTGTAAAATTATTCTCAGCTTTGTTTCAGGTTTAAACCACAGTAAAAAGACGCTTGAAACTTTCGATCACTCAGTAAGTGGCAATGAGTGGCATGATGGCGGTAAATAATTCTTCTATTGCAGGTACGTTTTCATGTCTTATTAGTCTGAAGATATTTGTTTTTGGTACGTTTTGGATGAACAAGAATTCGTAGTGTTACCATGGCTGCCTCTGAGTGAGTCGAAGTCAACATAAGTGAGGTGATTTTAGCGATAGGTGGGCAACGCCATCTGGTACGAGCCGCATGGTATTAGTAGGCCATTCAGATAAGCAGGCGTGAGTTATACGAAGGAAGTAAGGAATCACAAATACCTCTCTGCCCTCAAGCGCTGTTGTCAAGGAATCAAGGAACTCGATAACATCGAATGAGTTCTCCTACAATTAGGCAAAAGGAAGGGGGGGGGGGACAAACTGAGGAGAAATCTATAAAAATTTCTGCTTTCCTCTTTTATTGAGCAATGTCATTATTTAGGCTTGGTTAGGTTAAGTTAGCTTCTTACCACATTATGTGTCAGAAAAATAACAGAAATCTCAAAATCAAAAACGATTTATTTCTCCTTTCTTTCCTCAGATGTGGCAAACTTGAATTCATCAGTTGTCAACAGTTACTTTCCTGTGAGCAGTACTGTATGGATAACTGTGGCATATGTGGTTATATTCGTCTTCGGCTTCTTTGGTAACATCTGTATCATTTACATTGTGGTTTCTCGTAAACAGATGAGGACTAAATTCAATTTCTTAATTGTAAATATGGCAGTTGGAGATCTACTTGTTTCTCTCTTCATTATGCCGTTTGAGGTGAGTGACAATTTTCCAATTGTTAGGGGTTAATTTATTGTTTAGTTTCGTTATGCGAAAAGCTCTCACTCACTTCCAGCAGCATAACGCATTTTTTATTTCCTACTCTATTAGGTCGTGTTGTGATTGAAAAACCTATCTTGAATACCTTCCTGTCTTTGTAGGTGAAATTTTTTTACACTGGCACTGCATGGATCCCAGGGTTAGTGGGAAAAGTCACGTGCAAGCTTGTTAAGTTCATGGGGGTCTTGTCAATCGCTGTCAGCATCATAACACTTGTCTTCATTACAGTGGATCGTTACTTCGCCATTCTTCATCCACTTCGAGATATACGTTTCATTCGAAACACAAAACTGGTCACTGCTGTGATATGGATCACGTCTTCCCTGTTTTTCCTGCTGTATCTCTTGCTTTATGACGTTGTAAAGAGTGCTGATGGCTTTCATTGGGAATGCACAATGGTTGGGAATTTCTTTTCCTCAGACATAAGTGTCTGGTTTTCTATCAGCAGAGCCTATTTCATGGCCATGTTCTTGATACTGTATTTGGTTCCTCTAGTTGTCATCGCTTGGGTTCATGTTCTCATTGGTCGACATCTTTGTTCACGCCAGATCCCAGGGGAGCCGACAGCCCATCAGAGACATCAAAATGAACTGTCCAAGCGCAAGGTACTACGCATGATCATCATCGTGGTGGTGACGTTTGCGCTGTGTTGGTTGCCAACTCACATCCAGCATTTACTCATTTTCTATTTTAATAACACTTATAAGGCTTTGCTCAAAGTTGAACGCCTGAATTCCTTTTTATTTTTTCCAGCACACGCCAATAGTGCGTTAAACCCTTGTCTGCTTATTAGTTTAAACCAAAGATTCACTAATGAGTTCAAGGGAATTCTCAGATGTCTTTTTTGCCGAAATCCCGTTCTCACGAGAAGAAGCATTGGCACAGAACCACCCGTTGTTCTAACTCGCATACGAAAGACTGTTCGTCAATGTAGTAACACTGTTATCCCTCTTCACACTCAACAGCGTCCTCGGTCTCAGAGCTGTTCGTTTTGAATCTTCATTTTTTTGCAATGAGTTAGACAACAGGATAAAAACCTATCAAAACCATTAAGATTGATATCTTAGAAATGTAACCATGGCTGAACTGTTCTCAGTAGTGCTTGCATTGTTCAATAAACGAAAGATAAAGCATCATAACTGGTAAGCCAAGCTAGGGAAAAAGTTGCATAGAAAAGTTTCATAATATATGCGAAAAGCTTCGTTTACTAGGTAGGAAGTTAATGGACCACGCTCGACCAGTGTGCTTTGCACGCAGTTGTTCTTGTTATTATACGGGAACTCATTACTGTTTCTGTGAAACCGTGCTTACTAAAGTGGCCGTAGTGTTTGTCAATATTTTCATGCTAAAAATAGAACAAGGTATTATCAACCAGAGTACAACTAAACCGTCAATTTAGAAGAGGTATAATGACTCCGTTTCTGTGTGTGGAAAGCAAGCGAAGATTTTGATTGCGTCACAATAAAATTTATTTGATCCCCTCCCCCACTACGACTCTGTAGTATTCTACTGATATCCCCTCGTTTGCAGTCAGTCAACAATAGTCGCCCCTTTATACTCTGTTAGCGACCACCGATATCCCCTGTGTTCCCCCAGAAATCCACGTGATCCCCTCCCCCTACGTTTTTGAGAATGTATGAATTTAATCTAATCTGATTTTATTTTTATAAACCACTGCGTGAATGATATCGTAGTTCTTTCGTGTTTTAATGTTACAAGGTGTCAAACACTGGAAACCAAGCTTGTACTCATTCCTTAATCTGCGAACAAAGTCAGTGGTGGTTGTTTATCTAATATTAAACAACGTATCTTTTCAATAGAAACTTAGTAACGGTATATATTTCCGATTCCGTTTTATGTTTTGGAGCCTTACACACACCAGATCTTCGTGCAACACTGAGACATTTTCTGTAGAGATTGGACAGTAGTAGAAAGTTGCCTTTTTCCTACCTTTTTTTTTTCTTTATCATAAACGTGTAAATGAACGTTCACTCTTCTATGAATCTCGCATATCCGGTCAAACACAGCCCATAGAATTTTAACTCTCAGTTACTCCTCTAATAACAGACGAACAATCTAAGGCCTGTTTCAAATCCTTACCACTGGAACCTCTGTTTTCTACATGCGCTAAAGGATATACAACCGGTAACACAGTTAACAATAACTAATCCAGTGCTCATGTTGGGTGTCAACTGTATAGGAGAATCACGGCAGTGGCCATAACAGACATATCATCGCCATCGCGACTTGATTAACTCTCGAGTGCGAGTTATGGTAAGTGCGAGTGTGCTCTGACGTTTGAGACAATACGCGTGGGCTGCACGCAGGATTAAAGATGTCTTCTGCAACAATGTTTGATAAAAAAAACTGCAAAATTAATCGTAGGGGAACATCGAAGCTTATTAAAACAAATAAATTAAGGAAAAAAGATATGCTTTTAACTGACATCATAACGATAGCAACCCTACACGCACACCCCTCTCTTCCTCAAAACCACTCTAAAATACAGCCAAACTAAATTAAGACTCCAGGAAAAATAATGCTCGAAACTTACCCTGAAGTTTGTACCTCGCGATGGCGACTTACTTAGTTGTTCTTAGTGGTTTTAACGAGGCGATCGCGATAGATGATTAATACGAATTTTAAAAGAAGCAGTATCTCTAAAAGTGGTGCGTTGCATTGCTGTTCGAACAATCAACTTCTTTCAAACTTTGCCTATGAATCTGTCTGAGTCTCAAAGTAAATAAATCAAAATAAATCTTTTCTGAGCGAAAATCGCTTGAGGCCTCAAAGGCCTATTGTTAACAGGGCCGATCATCAAATATGGCACAAATTGCCACACTCGTCTTTTCACAAAACTCTGGTATGAGGAATTTTTTTTCGCGTATTTAGCTGGAGTAATCCTTTAGGAGAACAAAGTGTATAAGTTTGGCCTTTTTTAACGATTTTTTTACACTGAAAATTATTTTTCAGCTTGACACCTACTTTGCCTCTGCCGCCATGACCAATGTTATGTAAATATGCAACTTTTAATCTCGGCTCAGCACAAATGTCCAACTTCTGTCCCATAACATTTTCATTCAGACAAGCTGATATAAGGTAGAGGAGTAGAGAAATATAAAATATGACGATGTTTTCGGCAAACTTCTGGCACAGCCGGCCAACATATTAAGCACATTTTCGAAAATTCCATCTAACAATGCATTTGCACAAAAACCGGACTAAATTATAAGAAATTTCCATCGCCAACTTT